TACTTCAAAGCAATTATGACCTAAAAAGGCTGGTGCAATGGTGACAGATTTTAAAAAAAAAAAAAAAAAGCCAACAGCCCCTTTGTGGCACTTAAGGCATAGCATGGGCAAAACAAAGCACATTCCTGGGAAAAAATTGCCCATGACTCTGACATGCAGAGCACTGGTAGAAGACCAGCACTCCCTGAATTTCCCTGCTGACATCAATATATGAAGCTTTGTTACTGCTCAGCATTTTGAGGAAAAATGACATGTATCCATAGCGGGTGGCTCACTGTTTCATGCTGAAACATCTCCTACCCTTAAAGTCACTGTTGAACTGATAAAGCTTATCATGATCCCTCCATATACCAAGACTTTGTTGAACTGTTGGAAAATCAGAATAAGCTAATTTCAGTGTTATCTACAAGGTCTCCAGTCCTGCTCTGTGTGTGTGTCATGGCATACCAGGAGTGTCTTCTACTACAAGCCAAGTCCAGAAGTGAAGCATCCACTTCACTTAAAAGGATAAACCAAACATAACACTCTACTTTTATTTTCTGCTACTAGCCTCTGTTACTATCTTGTGTCTAAAAATAGGTTATCAAATTTTTGGGAGAAAAAAAGATGAATTTGGCTGTAGACAATCCATAACATGAAAAGTTCCCACAATAGATATGTTAAAACAAATGAATGTGTCTTTTCTATGACAACTGAATCATTCATAAATGTGGTTATACCATTCTGCATCATATTTAAATAAGCAAGTTTGGTATTCAACAAATTATTGCCAACTCCACCAGCACTGTGTTTTCTGGGCTTAATAGGAAATCTGCTTGAAGTCTGAACTCATAATTTCTATTAGCTTCTGTGAAGGCAGAAAGTCATGTCTTCTGTAGTGGTGATAGATGGAATTAGTGCTGATGGCAGAAATAAATCATATTGCCTGAGGCTGGCTGACTCTTGATGATGATGTAGTTGACCATTTGGTGATGTGGTCAACATGCTCTGCGCCCCCAAACCAAACAGAATAACCTGGGCAAAGCTGGTGAGCCCAATACATGGAAATAGAGCTCCCAAAAAGTGCAAGAATGAATGTGAATACAGTAGATGTATTCACAGCCCCAGCTGCAGCTAAGCTTTGTCACTAGGCTGAATGTTCTGGTTTTTCAATTCAGAAAGCTTGATGCTTTTCCACAGCCAGGTTAAGCTATCAACGTTCCCCATAACAGATTATTTCTGATCCTATGCCACTCACTCCCATGTCTACTCTAGATAAGCATTAAGAAACTGATCCAGGTTAAAACTAACCAATTTATCCCCAAAGGCAACCTTTACTATAGGTCAATACCCAATACAGACAGCTGAGCAGCCAAATCAATGTCAGTGCTAGCACAGACTGTGAGAGTAAGTACATGGGACCAGTCCCAATCAGTTTTACCAATATGCCTTTGAAGTACTTCCACTAATCAGTGGCAGAGCCAGGACATAAACTTTTAAAATATGCTCACCAAAATACTGTTTTAATATCTGCCAACATTGCATAAGGTAGGACATCTATCAAGAGTGAGGACGTTTTACTGTGTTTTGTCTGGTCATGTGTTTTCTTGATTTTCAAAGAATCTAGCCAGAGCTATACATTCACAGTGATGACTCAAGAAATATGGCTTGCACTTAGTGTTATTTGCTCAACTTCGCGATAACTTCCAGTTATATTGGCTTATTGCATCTACGCACAGAGATCTAATCACGTAATAGCAAACATTGAAAGAACCATTACCTATTACTACTTCGATGTCAGGAAATGGTTAAATTTTCATTACATCTCATTCTGGGGAATCTTGGTCACTGCTTGGCAATTCCTTCACCCAATATTTCTTAGCTTCCCAGTGGCATGTGCATCAGTCAGGCAGGTGAACTTCAGAAGTAAGGTAGTGCTGTGCTGATTATCATTTTTACATCTTCTTATTGCTAGTAGAATAGTTTTATAGGGAAGTTGTAGCCTGTGGCTGCAACCAGCATGTTTTTATAGACTTAATACAAAAGAAGCCTCAAACTCTCATCCCAAATACTGAGCCTGTAACGTCTTTTACTCTGAAAGTGTTTTGTGTCCTGATGTAACTGTTTATGCTCATGGAATTGCATTACACCTCTAAATCTGCAATTTTGTCCAGATTTCATAATTCTATCATGTTAAAAACTCTTTTTAAGGAGTAAGAAAATGTTAACTAGTAAATAGTGCATAATATAATAATAATATGCATAATTGTGCATAGTCTTCTGTGATTAGCTGTAGTGATAGAAGAAGGGATATGGAATAAGGAATGTGAATTTTACTGTTGAAATTCAAATAAATGCACTATTCACAAACTGCAAAATCCAGGATCACAATCCGTGTGAAATCCTCACCAAAAGCTTTTCATGGGTGGGAATATGTACTACCCAGGCCTCTTCCATTAAACTGCTTTCACAAACGTAAAAAACTAATAAACTTTCTTTGGAAAATCCTATACTGCTTCCTACTAGTTTCAGAAGGGGACACAATACTTTTTGATTTTTTTAAAGGCATATGAAGACAGAAAGTACAGTCAAATCATGGAATCTTTTGAGTGGCATGCATAGAGATTTCATACAATATGGAGAACAGGAAATATAATAAAGTGCTGGAGATCTATAAAATCCTTATGAAGCTCAAAAATCACTTTCCATTCTCTAGGAAGGGCCCCTATTCACATGCATACACACAAAATAGGAAAAATTTTAAAAATTAGATTTTGAAAATCAATATTGTCCATGCTGTATGTGTCCCCTGCCCCCCCCGCAAAAAAAAAAAAAAAAAAAAGAAGCGACAAGGAATACTGAAATCAGAATAATCAGTTTTGATTAAACACGAGTTGTACTTGGTAAGAATGTGTCATTATGTAGACAGGGCAAGATTTTTAAAGAACTTAATTTTCTTGATCTGAAGGGTGGGGTTTTTTCGGTGTATCAAATCATGGCAGAGTACAGTGCTACTTGGGACCAAGACTATGTTCAGAGACTTGGTTGCTAATGCAGTATTTCTCACTTAAATATTAAAAAATGCACAAAAGAGTTGAATTGACTCATACAAGTGCTTTAGGCAGCTACAGACTAACGACTAAGTGTAGACAGGCTGGCTCCTTCTTTAAGAGGTCAAACCCCATTATTTTTATAGATGGTTATATTAAAACATCTGCTCTTCAAGACACACCTTTGTAGACAGTACTCAGGTTCTATAACCTCAACAATTAAAGAACCCCCTAGTTGATTGGTATCTCACAGCTTTATCTTGATCTTTCTTTCCCTTTAGAACTATCTTTTTTTCCCTCAACTGGCAATTTCAGGAACTTGCCATGAGCTAAAGAATTCATTATCAGTCTTTAAAACAACTTAGCATGAAGTTTAAAGTACTAAATTAGCGCTTAAGGAATTAACTTTGAGAATGTCAAATATAAAAATTGAGCCAAATACAGAGTAGAAATTACTGTGCCTTGCAGGTATATTTAATGCAGATGTGCATATTATGATGATTAGTTATACAATTAAGTCTTCTACTGATCACCACAGTAATCTGCATCACAATCAAGAAAGTAACACACATACCAGTTGCAGTCATAAAGAAATAAATTCTGTATATGAAGGTATCCAGTGTATTTTTTAAGAAACCTTCCCTTGAAGATCCTTGCAGAAGCCTTTGGTATACACGTTAAATCAATGCAACAAAACTGCCAATAAAATTATGGTTTGATCCACTTGGTAACAAAAGGGTCAAGTGGCGTGAAAAAAAACTCAAGCCTGCAAATTACCAAATTATTGACTCTTTGAGAATTTTCACCACAAATTTGTCCATAGGCTGCAAGTGTTTTTCTAATGCAAATGTAACTTATGAAAAAGAAAAAGGGTAGGCCACCAACTGAAAGAAAACATTTATTGAATCAAAGTCAATACTTTCCTTTTATTATCTACAAGCCAACACTGAACTGACTTTATTCAAGAATGAACACAATGTACAAAAAAAGTACGTCTGTTACAAAAATATGTCAATTTTTTTTCCTGGCTATTGAGCTGAAAACATTTTGACAAGTGCAAGATAGGTTTGGCAAGTAAATTTAAGCCACTATTACCAATGACAAAGTTCAAATAATTTTGTAATCAGAGTATATTTAAGACTCATTGATAAAGTGGCATTGGAAATGTTGACCCCTAAAAAAAAATGTATCACTGCACTGCCATGTGTTTATGCACTCAGACAATTGAACATCTTGATCTTCTGTCAACAAATCAGTACTTTTATCAGTGAAGACTATCCAACCTAATTTGAACTATTCAACCAGAGAATTGACACCTACCACTGGAATACAACTTAGGGAAGGCAAACTACCTCCATGGCCCTGTATTTTGTGTGTTTGCAAACTGAGAGAGAGGAGTAGGTAGGTTCACACATGTTTAAATCAACCTGACAGCTGTTGCAATGTGAAATCAGGGAAAGGATGGAAAAAGAATAAAGAATCATTTATGACAGCAATCTGTATTTCTGAACACATGCATTTTTACGTATAAAAATGGATCTGACTAGGCTCAATTATGCCTTATTTGTTTAGATGTTGGGTTTTTCTCCCACATAAAAATTTAACTCAACCAGGACTCAAATCATTGCCTTCTCTCAAACCACCACCAAGGAGGAAAAAAAGGGACCATTTACAGGGATAATCTGAAAACAGTGCAATATTAAAATACAATTTCACAACATGTGAAAGAAACATGCTTTGGAACCTGAGCAAAAGGCGTTTTACTGACTTAGTAAAAAGTCACCCTGTATGTTGTTTTCATTGGCATCTGTTCTGCCAGATAAGTATGTTGCTCTTAGCAACTTCCATGGCCCCTAAATATTTAGTACACAGAAACTGCCAACTACTTAGAGAAGTCTACTAAACTTTTCAGCTAATATTGCAGGCAGTCTGACATGCTGCTACTGGAAATGATCATACAGCCTAAAATTGAAAAAAAAATTGTAGAAAGAAAAAGAAGCAGCCAAACATGATGCTTTTCTTTTTTAAATAGACTAAAGCGCTTCCACAACACTTAGATACGGTACTACACTGGTTTACAGTCTCAAGGTCAGCTCTTTCAAAATAAATATACTGAACATTTACAACAAATGCCTCATGAATGCAAGCTCTCTCTTTATTATTTCAAGACCAGTTGGATAAAAACTAAAATAAAGACATAACTCTGAAGCAGCTAAGTTACAAGTCCTTTTTCAGAAACAGGCATGACTTGGTGCCACAGCAAAATTTTTCACCAGTCTGCAGTAAGCAATTATTTTTTTTCTTCTAGCACCAAGCAGGCCACCATACAAAAGCAACCTCACAAAGCATGCGGTCATCTGCTCTGCTCATTCTGTATGAAATAATCGTTTGTGCTTGCAGGTCCGAAATGGGTATGAACAATAGATGATTGACGACATTAATGGCAACTCACTCACTTCTAAATTACTTGAGCAGAGAAAAGATTTAAAGACTAAAGAGCAACAAAATGTTGCACATTAGTATTTGTGAGGGATGAAGAAAGCTAAGGTTGGTGCTTTAATTTGCCTTAAAACAAACAAAAAGCTAAAACCAATCCTAAACAGCTCTATGTCCATGATACTGGTAGAGGCCAATGTGTGCATGCCACTAAAGGCACAGTTGGACCAATCTGATAAATGGCATCATCAGAGCAGAACAGCAACTTTTCACTGGAGCAATCACAAAGGGTGAACAATGAGCCATCACTTCTCTTGTCATGAGCACAGAAAGCAGTCACCAAGGCAAAAGAGGGGACACAGGAAAGAAGATACAGGAACTTACATAAACCTGGAAGACAGAAAACACACATTAAACTGAGTTTTGAACATTCTGAGTGATCACTTTCCTACTGTAACATTGCTATTCATTGATTTAACATCATACATATTATGCTTAAATGGACAGAAGTGTTGCAAAAATGGTACCCTAATCATATCACAAAATTCTTCTGACATTTGTTATACGACTAACTTCACTTGCAAATATTTGCATACAATATTATCTTAGGTATCTTTAGGTATAAACAGGCTTATGGACAGACTGATGCAGTCAGGACAATGTCTTGTTCATCGTGTAAAAAAATTAACATGCTTGCACGATACTGAATTTTTTACTTAGAAACGCGTTTTTAAAATTGGGCATTATAAAGACACAGCTATTTATAGGGAGCTAATGATGAAGTAGTACGATTGTTCTTCCTACTACTCTAACAGTGCCTAAAAAGCAGAGTGCAATACTTACAGGAAAGGTATCCCCAAGGTTATCCTGCCTTTGTATCTACAAGCTGCATCTGAACGTTTGCAGACATGCCACCTCCATAGCCTCCCTTGGACTGCATTTGGTTCTGAATTGAGCTGACCTAGAGACAAAAGGGAAAGGGGGGGCAGAGCAAACAAGAAAGACAGTTAGTGAGCTATAGCATCTTCTTGCTTTCAATTTTATTTCTAGTTTAGATTTGGTTTTCAAGTACTCCTTTACCATGAAAGCTACATTACTTTGCATGAGGACATGTGCCGCATAGGCTTGCTGGAATTTTCACTTCTGCAGGCAGCTCAGCAAGCGAGATGGAAGAACTGGTGCTAAGGCAGAATTTTCTCCTCTCTCCCGAAGAAAACTGGCTGATTCAGGCTTTCACTGCCTTGCTTGATTACTCAAAAAACCCCAATAAATCGTATCTCTTACTGGTATCCAACTCCACTCCATCTGACAAGCTACAATTTATCTTGTTATATCGAAAATGTTCTTTGACAAGTAAGATAAACCAGAGAAGTTGACACCATTAGGTTAAAAATATAATAAGACAACTTACATAATATCTGAATAGTATCTGCACTCTATGGCTAACTTCAGATAATTAAAAAAGGACTTTCTAAACCAGCTTTTGGTTTGTGGAAGGTTTTTTATTTATCTATTTACATAACAGCATACACTGCTTTCCTTAATTGCTCCTATTCCTTTAAATGGCAGGGCATTTGTTGTTTAAATCATACTCAATCTATCAACTTCCCTGGAAATAGCTTATTTGAAGGTATTTTTAGCCTGATGCAAATAAATACATAAAGAATACACACACACACAAACATGCACATCTCTCTATGGCTTTCATTGCCTTTATCATACTTCTTTCCTGCTTGCATTGCCTGAGTCAAAATAATCATCTCCAAGTGCCTGCAGCAAGATGACTCCAACCTCAAAAGTTTGGGCTTTTTCTCTCTCCACCCCAGAGCATACATAACAAGTATACAATGAGCACAAAACAACATACTCATTCAAGGCTACAGCTTCTGAAATTGAACTTGCAGCAAAGCCTATGCCTGCAGGGCACCACTTCCAATTATTACATATATGGTCCTTCATAGAGCCCTCAAAATACCACTAGAAAGCTGGATTAAAACAGCACTGGAGAACTATTTCCAAGTAGCTTGTATGATATTTTCTCTGTCTACAAAGACAAGAGAAATATATACTTTTCCACAGCAAAGCAAAACACACGCAGACACACACAATGAATCAGCAGAATTCTTTCTTACACACTGTTTCTCAAAACAATGTGAAAAAGAGCCTGTTTTAGCATCTTTGACTTCAACAGTATGGCATATTGCAGTGCTGTGCAAAAGATCTGATTTTTATGTATTTAAGCAGCCCAATGCAAAAACATATTCTACCTTGGCGCTTTGCTCAAATAAGCGATGCAGCTGCAGCAAAGCAATGTTATGTTCACAATTTTCTTCAGGGAAAAGTGTTCAAAGCCAATACTCTAGAAGGTCTGACATCAGAGACTACAAACTCAGTAACGAAGTGTGAAGAAATGCAACCACATGCATGGGGTGGTATTTAAGAACCTCAACATTTCACCAAGCTGCTCATCTTCTTCACCAAGCATCTTCTGTTGCTAATTGGAACAAAAGGACTTTGAATTTAATCCTTTTTTCCTCAGAAAATAATTAATCTACATGTAAATGTATTCACAAAAATGACCTGAGGATGGCATTCATTTCATCTGAATGAACCCTGCCTCTAGTGAAAAAGAGCTAGAAAAAACATCTCCAGGCCATGTCACCGTCCAGCTTGAAAACTTGCCTACATGACTTTAAAATTTTGGAGAACAGCAAATCAACATAAATTGCAAGGCTAAAGCATAATTTTTCATGAGTACTTCTTCTAAAAGTTAGAGTAATTTCTCTGGTACTTCAGTCACACGTACAGATTTTTGTGTTACTGGGTAAGGAAGTATCAGTCTAAAATGCAGAGGCTGTTACACCTAAAGCAAAGAGAATGCAGCAAATTAAACTTGACAGCATTAACAGTTCAGTGGCTATTTTGTGTATGAAAACACATGTATAGGAGACATACCAATGTTAAGAACACTGAGCAAAAAGCAAGTCTAACAATTGTAGGCTTATAGGGTGATACTCTTTCTGAAGCATCCTCCTTCTGAGGAAGTCTGAGCTACAAGAACAAGCACTATGAAATGCAATTTTTTTTTTTTTCTTTCTCAAAGATGCCATTGCTTTCCTTTGATGATAAATAACAACAAAGTTCTCTCTCATGTCTAATTTAGATAGGATAAGGATTTAAAGATTTTTGGAAGGGGAAGAGGATTGCACCAATTAAAGATCACGCAATCTGTTGTGCCATTTATCTGCCTCATTAATTTCCTTCTTTCCTTTTCTTTCCATCCCTTTTAGAATTGGGAAATAGCACAGATGGTCCTTGAGAAAGAAAACAAGAAAACTAAGAAAAGGATGGATTACATGAAATCACAGACTAAACTGAGGAATATGAAGCAGAAGAAGAAATTGGGAGATTTCACCATGAAATATGAAGGTAAAATACGAAAGTGATGGGAATGAGAAAGAAACAGCACAGAGGGCTCCTACTGTTTAAGCGTACCTTTGACAAAGGAGCAAGGCGCTCTACAGAGAAGACAAACAAGCAAAATATTTCAGTAGCCAGAAAACTACTGGACTCAGAACCATAAGGATATGTAATGAAAGACAATGCTGATGAGAAAAGGTACAGAGTAGATAGTGGATAAGAACCAAATTTATATGGGAAAAGCTAATGAAATTGCAGGAGGTGCTCCTAAGGTATACAGAAGAGAGAAGGCACAAGGAGGTTCATGCAGAAGTATAATGTCCATACTATAAAGGAAATTAAGCAGCAGAAAACCATGTGGAGGTTAACACCATAATCTTGGAATTTACACTGCGAAGAACGAACAAGGAGATTGGATGCAATATTACCACAGTAAGTCACCACAGAAAAGGCAGGAAAATAAGCAGTGTGAAAAAGTAGAGATTTGTGCTTTGGAAAAAAACGATTATTTTTGCATACAGATCCTTTCTATCTTAGGTAAGAAACATCACTCTGGCCACTGATGCAGCACATTATCCAAATGAGAAAAAAGTGAGAGAAGGAGATAGCCAGTTACAAGCATTCAAAATGAAAAAGTCTATGTAGAGAGACAATAATGATTACCCACTATCTGGAGATGAATCAGATATTACACAAGGCAAAGATGAAGGCAAGCAGGGGGAAGGTCTGAAGTGAAAGAGCAAACCTTCTGGCAGTCACCACAAACCTCACATGAGAAAACTCAGCTGTGAGAATGAGGAAGGTTCTCACAGGTGGGACAACAAAAATTTTAAAAGCAAAAAGCCACACTTTAAAAAAAAAAAGAAAAGAAAGAAAACCGCTCACTTTATTATCTCAATTTATAAGGGCTTTAAATACTAATGTAATATATTGCATTAAATAAGTAGTTAGCTTTAAATGAATTTTATCAAGTTGAACCTGTGTTTGTCCATTTTAACTTGCTTAAAGATATTTTAGTACAAACCACTTCCAATCCATTATGTTGTTTCTGGGAAATGTAGTATATTGTCATGTCAGGTTTTCTAGCTTTGTCCTTTCCCAATACATACTGAGTTACAAAAGCTTTCATCTGATCTCAATAAGCTGTAAACTAGTTGAAACTACAAATTACCTCACTTGCCTACATTAAAACTGTCTCTTTCCTTTACAGCTCTGCTCTCTATTCTGATACCTCTGACAGAACTCCTACTTCTCCTTTGTCAAGAAGTATTTTTCATCATTTTCATCTTAAAACAATTTTTTTCCTATTTAAAGATTATTACGGTCAGAAAGTATTTATCATCATTATCTACACACAACCCTTTTCTAGGTTGCATATTACTGACCTTAAAAACAGATTGACATTTCACATAAATATGAAACTGTACAAAAGAAATCATCATAAGCTGATTTTCAGTAGCCATCTTAGCCTCTGTTTTTCACTATCAGAGAGAGAAAAATATTTATTGCTCCTATCATCTACAGGAAGCCACAAAACCTTGCTTGTGACATCATTGCTTGCTCTGGAAATAATTCACACTGCAAATAGGGCTACAGAGTATAGAAAAAACACGACACTCAAAAATATTTGTGTGCACCATAAACCAAGGTAAATTAGAATTTTACATGAACTATATTTAAAATAGTTTAGAGCATTTAAGATAAGAAATCTAGTAAATTATAATACACTTCTAGAAGTTTTCTCTAAAATACTCGTGTATTTTCAAATATACTTCTACTTTAGCTCATACATACCATCAGAACAAATTTTTAAAAAGTATTCCACACATAGCCTGTATAATTTATACAGCATCTACTATGTATTGTCAATGAATACAGGAATTAAAAAAATGACATTCCATAATCTTGAATGCAAGTGTTTAGGACTTGGAATTAAGACACTAGCAGGCTGCTCTTCAGTTTTATAGAGATTCTTTCTTAATAGTTGAAAGACTTGTTGCTTCAGCCACAATGTACATATACAATGTTCCTGTATGCCATCTAAGATGAAATATTTTTCATCTGCTCATGCTTACCGAATTCATTCCACTGAACAGGTCTCCTGACCCTACATGAGCAGTATGAACAAAGTTTGTCGGCTCCCCAATCATGCTTCTGTCAATCCGCCGTCGTCTTTTCTGAAAGGAAGGTAAAGAAACCATTTAACTGAGAGTCACTGAAAAGGCAACATTGATGTATGTCAAAAAAGTTAACTGTCCATAGGATATTTCATACACTGTAAGATATTTGCATAGAGTCAAAAAGCAAAGTCCGAGTTCCCAGGTTAACCAAGACATTGGTAATACTGTCCTTTGTTTCTACTTGGAGGATCTATAGCAGATCATTAGACCAGCACCAATACCACTCTTAACATTTAGGCCAACAAAACATTTGTAAATAACCTTACTGCAATCCATGGTTTATTAAGCAATATTTGCAATGTTTCATACAGTAACTTCTGCCTACAGTTGTATTTAAATCATGACGTGACTGATCAAACTCAAGGTTTAGTCATTCAAAGGAAGAATTAAGGATCAAAGAGCATTACTATAGTCTATGAATCCACTAACTTAGAGAATTTCTGATTTGCATGCCATGGGAATTTATGTCACTATTTGTCATACGCTTCACAGTGATGTTCAGAACAATGCCTTGAGTTTGACCAGGGTTAGTCACAGACATAACTTTACTGAACCCCGTATACTCAGATAACTTCCAGTCTGCGTGGTTGTAAAGTGAGCTGAAGGGGTGCAGTGTGATAGTAAGGCAGGATACCAGATTAGGGACTCTCATTGTTGTGCTGCGAGACAGAAGGCAAGAATTGCTTAACCTCTGCCTCCCCTTTCTCAGAGTCACAGCTTCATTTTTTATTAATGTAATAACACACAAATGAAAAACTGGAGGCAGTAAGGACTTCCTCTAATTAAAGCTGCTTTGGTTGCCTGCCTCCAGCTAAGCATTGCATCTAAACGAATAAAACAAGAAAACCCTATCCTCATTCTTCGGCCAGAGCCAGGGAGCTTACACAGAGCAAGCCATACAGTGTGCAGTCACTGTATGGTCATATTCTATATTTGAAAAAAACCCAAAAAACGCAATAGCCATGATGCACAGTATTAATATCTCAATTTAAGGTGTGTCATATAAAATACAATATAATAGCTAATAAACTACTTGAGCTCAGTGAAAAGTTTCCCATCATCTTGAAGTTCACTCAGTCTCATTTTTAAAGAGATCCCCGTTTCTAACCCACAATGAGATCATAAGACCACCCGGACTCGAGACACAAAGGTACATGCCTCATGACTGGGCTAGCTGCTATTGAAACACAGCTACAGATTAAATCTTTATGAATCAGAGCCCACAACTATGAGAATCACGGGGCTTAGCCAGCAAGCACAGAACACATTTAATCCTTTCCTGTACCTTCTCCCTATTGCCAAAGCCAGATTTCAGAAAGTTTCAATACCTTAATGCATCGTATTGATAGCTGAGGTGAGAAGAAACACATAAAAAACTCCCACAGAAATAGAAAAACAAAAATGAAAAAAAAAAAAAAAATTACCCAATCTATGCCCAAAACTATTAATGAATTTTCTACTCCCAACAAATTTGACAAGATCAACCAAATAAAATAATCATAGCTATAAAAACATCTTCATGTAGTTTGAAGACTTTCACAGAGAAAATGTTTATGGAAATTAACTGAAATGTCTCAATTACAGAAAGCATTCGTAGAGTTCACAGAGCCATAGATAGCCACAACATAATCTATTATCGTATGCCACCAATGCATTAATATTTCACTCTGGAAGTCAAGCTCACTTATACCTACAGCAAACTATTTCTTAAGTTATGCATGATATCAGCGAGTAAAGCATACATGACTAACTTGGGGGAGGAGACCCCACACCAGCTTTATAGTTCCACTGGATGAGAACTGCTGATCTAACATGTTCAGGATGACAAGCATCTCCCACCAGGTGTGATAATTATTTTAAATGCACGTTGCTGCATTTACACAATATAGTATTGTGATATGCTGTGACTCTGGCACAGAAAGAAGTTCTAGAAAGCTGTATGAAACACAGCACTCCACATAAAACACAATTGTTTCGGGTCTGCAGTAGTTGCCCCTCTCCTCCTTTTAAAAAATAACAGCCAGAGTCAGATTCATTTCTATGTCTCAACAATATATCCTTGATTTCTTGGTTTTAGTAGAATTTTGAAATGCAGAGAAAATGTAGACAATCTCAAAGCTCTTAGAATTTTTTGTTTATTTGTTTTGCAAACAACCAAGCTCTTTCTTTGGGCAACGCAACTTATTTTCCTCCTTTACTTGTTGCTAAGATCACTGGCATGCCAGTAGCAGAATCATGTGCTGGATCATATGAACAACTGCAAATGATTCTCCGCTAATCATCAGCTAGTCAACCAGTAACCACTAGTTAAAGTGAATCCCCCTCAAACCCTGTTTCTTATCTTAAGCGAGTTTCTTATCAGAAACCATCAGCCAGTTATACCCTGGCATGTGCCCACTAATGAGATCTCCTTGAAGCAATGGAACAGTATTTAAATGCTCTGCTATATTAAGACCACAAAGTAGTTCACTCTGAAAGCAAACCAAACACTGTTTTTCTGTTGCAGGACTGCTCAAGTTTGCGTTTTTTTTTTTTCCCCTTGCCTTGTCCCAAGGCACTTCCTCCTTTACTAAGGGGGAAAGCGGTGGCAAGGAGCACAACAGAGGAGACATGAGAGGAAAAGACGTGTAAAGGGATCCTGGAAATGGAACATGAAATGTCATAATTTAACGGCTTTACTCAGTTTGTTTCCTTGACAAAAATCTGCAGAATTTGGATTGCAAAGTACATACCAGGTAATCTTTACACCACAAAAAGAATAAATAATCTTTAAACAGATGTAGAAGAGATGCAGGTTTGTGTGTAAAATGTTTGAGAGGAATGGAAGCAGTCTGAGGACCTATTTCAGAAGCTTTGCTTTGAACATATACTAGATGCAGTGAAACTGGATCACATATCAGTTACCATAGTAATGAAGTAAAGAATTGATGTCTCTTCTATTCTTAATCTACAAGAGATGCTTTGCACCCACACAGGGTAGCATCTCTTGTGAAGTACAAGATCAGAATTCAGAAAGCCACCAACCGTTGCATCATGTGGACATTGGCTTGCAGGGGCAAATTTTGTCCAGAGGCTGGGCTGTGCTTCTCTAGCTCAGGCCACTTCATAGTGATGGCAATGGTTCTGAATTAGACAAATTTTCTGCCTTTATATATACCTACAAAAAGAAAAGCTTTGCAATTTTTTCTCCTTTACACATTTATGCATCCCTCTCTGCCCTTCATGACAGGCCCTCTCAAAAAAAGAAAAGACACGCAGAGTAACATCAAGGTCTCAAATATATCAGAAAATATTTGAGTGACGTCACTTACATCCCAGCAGGCTGGTAATTATTTTTCTGGAAGCTGCTAAAAGAAGAAGTCGCAAATGAAGTCAAGCAATATCATACAAATGTATCCCACAGTCAAGTACCAACCTACATATGCTGGGGATCACAGAATCATAGAATCATTTAGGTTGGAAAAGACCTTTAAGTACTATCATTATGTCCAACCATTAACCTAACCCTGTCAAGTCCACCACTAAACCATGTCCCTAAGCACCACATCTACCTGTCTTTTAAATAGTTGAGTCACCACTCCAGAGGTGGTGACTCAACCACTTCCCTGGGCAGCCTGTTCCAATGCCTGACCACTCTTTTGGTGAAGAAATCTTTCCTCATATCCAATCTAAACCTTCCCTGGCACAACTTGAGGCCACTTCCTCTCGTCCTATCACTTGTTGCTTGGGAGAAGACACCGACCCCCACCTGGCTACAACCTCCTTTCAGGTAGTTGTAGAGAGTGAGAAGGTCTCCCCTCAGCCTCCGTTCCTCCAGACTGAACAACCCCAGTTCCCTCAGCCGCTCCTCATAAGACTTGTGCTCCAGACTCTTCACCAGCTTCATTGCCCTTCTCTGGACACGCTCCAGCACCTCAATGTCTTTCTCGTAGTAAGGGGCCCAAAACTGAACACAGGACTCAAGGTTCAGCCTCACCAGAGCTGAGTACAGGGGGACGATCACTGCCCTACTCCTGCTGGCCACACTATTCCTGATACAAGCCAGGATGCTGTTGGGCCTTCTGGGCCACCTGGGCACACTGCTGGCTCATGTTCAGCCAGTTGTTGACAAGCATCCCCAGGTCCTTTTCCACCAGGCAGCTTTCCATCCACTCTTTGCCAAGCCTGTAGCGTTGCATGGGGTTGTTGTGACCCAAGTGCAGGACCCAGCACTTGACCCTCATGCAGTTGGCCTGGGCCCATCGATCCAGCCTGTCCAGATCCCTCTGTAGGGCCTTCCGACCCTTGAGCAGATCAACACTGCTGCCCAACCTGGTGTTGTCTGCAAACTTACTGAGGGTGCACTTCATCCCCTCATCCAGATCATTGATAAAGATATTAAAGAGAACTGGCCCTAGTACTGCACCCTGGGGAACACCACTTGTGACCAGCCACCAATTGGATTTAACACCATTCACCACAACCCTGCCATCCAGCCAGTTTTTTACCCAGCAGAGTATGCCCGTCCAAGCTACAGGCAGCCAGTTTCTCCAGGAGATTGCTGTGGGAAACGCTGTCAAAAGCTTTACTAAAGTCCAGATAGACAACATCCACAGCCACTTCCTCTTCGCTAAGCAGGTCCAACCAGATCCAAATCAATATGAAGTGATACATACATGAAATGGCAAGTGATGCACCTTGCTTTTTTTTTGACACAGTTCTTTTTGTCTTTCATTCTAAGTATCTGTAGACAAGGAACTTTGGTTCAAATTTGTGATCATTTTTCCTTATTCTGCAACACCATCTGTATTATTTTTCATGACATGTTATGTTATTTTGGCTTCTGTTATTTCAACACAAAATCTGTAAGCTTTCCACAAAGATTCACATACAGAAAATCTAAGAAGTAACATTTATTGAGGCATAATCTCTGTGCTTTATCATCTGTATTTCCTAATATAATGAGAACATCTTTTGTATTTTAACATCAAAACAGCCTTGGTTCATAATCAGGGGAA